ATAAGAGCCTCGAGGTGGTAGCTAGAGTGTGGAGAAGCAAAATGTGGGGATGAGACTAGAAGATGGAACCAGGGACGGGGTACCTACAATCTTTTCGCATATTTTGTCAATTATGTGCTCCCTTCGTTCATAAATTATGCCAGAATGTCTCAAACTGGACTCCTCAAGGGGTCCAGCTGAAAACAAGAAGTGCACAGTACACTGTGCTCCGGGATGGTACAACATGGAAAGATTTCTTCGCGCGAAAATGAGTTGAAAATTTGGAATAAAGTTTCTAGTGGGAAGCATTGACACAGAGAAAATAAATTTTCGATAGATTATCATCGGCTCGAAAGCGATGTGCACCAAATTGAGGCTTCGAATCGAGTCCGGGGATCTTATTTATCCCGTCGAGTCGTACACGAACGCGTCCCCTTGGATGTGGCGGTGTGGTCCTCGGCACGAAACCGAGTTCGCCGAACAGCCAATAAATTCTGTCGCGGGGTTGGCCGCAATGATTCGGGAACTGGAACTCAGGAAATTGGTACGTCAGTGTCATTGGGATGTAAAAACTTGTTTCTTGCCTACTGCGCGCCACAGCACGTACCTATATCGAGAAAAAGACCGCGGGGATTCGATACTGACAATCGAACTCATGGGCACACGCGAACCTTCCCCGACCGCTCGCGCGATCCTGTGCACGTACACTCGTGAGGGGGAGTTCGCGGGCGAATGTGTGCTCGTTGCATACAGCCCTGCGTCGTGGCACAAGTACAACGCGGTTGCTATAGAGGGACACGTACGGAAGGTACGTACACACGCGCGACGCAACCAGGGATCCTTGATCCTACAGGAATGCAGTCGTGGCGGCCCACGCGGCCTCAAGTACCCCGATCGCCGTCTCTCTCTCTCTCTCTTTCGCCTTCCTCTTTCTGGGCTGCCTTGTGTTCATCCTCTTTCTTCGTTTTCACGAGATCTAATCCCCGCAGAGCCACGTCCGTAAAGCAAAGAGCGGTATTGGTCGGATGCACGCGCCTCTTCGTTGTTCTGCGCGTTTCCTCGGTGGACGGTGTTTGGCGTTAGGTTCGGCTCCACGGACGAAGAATTTTGGGAATTGTTTGCTTCCACCCGATTCGAACTCGAGGGTGACTCACGGGATCGCGCGGTGTTTGAGGTTCGGTGGAGAGGACTCGAGTAGAATGTCTGCTACTCCAAGGAATCGTTGGGAGTAGGACTGTTTATGTTGAGGAAACGTAAAAAGGAATGATGGAGGCATTGGTTCAGCTCGTGGATAGAAGAATGAGGATTGTCTGCTTTTTTTTTTACATTATTTATTGTATATTAGGTTGTCAGGAAAGTTCATGTCCATTTTTGGTAGGTGGTACAGGTTTGAATATATCGGAACGGTTGAAAACAACCGTCTTTTGACGCTTAACATTTAGAATGAATTTTTTTAGTTCTTCAGTGAATAAGTACTGTCACCCATATATGGGTGACGTGGCGACCAACGCGTTAAAAGGTGGAAAGGTTGTGGAACAAAATACCTATGTATTCAACTTTCTGAACAACCCAATAGTTTACTTTGATTAAGACAGGGTGCGATTTTTCTAATCTTTCAGGCTAAAAGAAATGTTGGTAAGTGAGAATTTTTCTTGGCGATATTAAATATCCAGAAATATATTTAAACTACATACTTTGGACAATATCCCCGCTATTTTTCATGAGAATATGAAGATCTATTTTATAAAACATAAATGTCCTCGTAACACGCTACGAGGGCCCCATAAAAAGTTCGTCGTTTTGGGGCCTCTTTCATTCTGTAATAGGTCTGTCCGACGCTTATTTACTTATTATTGCTTGTATTGTTACTTAAATCCGTCCGAGAAATCAAGCACGGTAATTTACCAGCGGGATTCCTCCGTTAAAATGGTCAAGATCCTATACGATAAATCGTTCGAAGCTCAGACGTCCAAGGGGGTCCGTTAAATCAAAGGAAACCGAATCCGAGTTTGCGCTGGGTGGCGCATTAAACTCTCCGGAACTCACGGATCGCGATAATCCTCAGTTTTCCACGAAAGGGACCAGTCGGAAAAAAACCGGCGACGCTGCTGCGAATCGTTTCCGGTATTAGTTCGTAATACATCAAATTTTGTCAATTTTGACAGTCAAAACTTCCAACGAATAACGAAAAATTGTGAGATTAGAGAAAAAGCTGGACTTATTTTCTTCGAGACAACCTCTTGACGATAACATCACCAAAATTTATTAAACCGCACATTTCACTCACAATTCCCGATCTCGCGCGTCCTTTTCGGCCCTCGTTGATCTTAATAAGGGCCAGAAAAAATAAAACGACGTCGTAGAGGACGCTCGCAGCGGTCCTCCCTCGATTTTTTCGCGACGCTCGCACACGCCGCCCCGCCGGTTATTAATTCCTCACCATTTAACGTCCGACGAAAGAAAGATACTCGGGTTTCAGGTGACCGGTGGTTCCCCGGCGTCGTGCGGCTACTCGCGTGATCGAACGAGCCGCGTCTCCCGTAAATAAACTTTTCATACATCAGCACGGGGACCGGACAGACGTGGAATAAAGCACACAGAGATGAAATCATAGCCTGCGCGCCGCAGGATACACCGTGCATCCGCACCGACGGTGTCCGGTAGCTCGCAGCGGTTTAATCGACGTCCTGCGAGGAAACTTTTCCTGCGAAGGGGTCCCTACGAGGCTCGGTTAAAACCACCGCGGTGCGCGTACGCGCTTAGAGAGGGAGGATCATCGTCGATGCTCAAGGTCGACTGCATGCTGCTCGAGGCCTTCGGGAGGAGGCGTCGATCCGACCACTGCGAATTCGTTCGACTGTTTCCATCGTCCCGCAGCTGTTCTGCTCTCTACATGGCTGCATTCAGGCTCTCGAGCGTTTTATCCTTTTCGACGGCGTCACCACACAAATCGCTTTCGCAGGATTTGTTCGCTGTCTCGTGGGTGTCCGCGATATGGCTTCGCGGCGACGAAAAGTGGCCATCCAGGAGGCGATACCGGAAAACGATCCCAGCGAGACCGAGGTAGGAAACTGGTTCGAGCTTGGTTCGATGACGAGTTTGACAGGGGTTTCATGGATTATAAAACAAGTTGTGTGTTACTGTCGTAGTGGATTTTGGAGTAGGTGGAAGGTATTACTGTAAGGTTTGGTTCTTCTGTGTGGCGTTGATAGAATTGGAAAAGGCAAGTACAATCGTTGGACTTTCAAACAGAAGGGATCAAGTCGATCGTATCGCTTACCTAAAAATTCATCATTTAGCCTTTGTCTGAGTCGTTGACAAATGTATGTGTGCAATTTTGAAAGACATTTACAGTGTCACTGACCGATGTGATATGTTCATGTGTCTGTATGTCTTCTCTGCGATGGTAGAGATTTCCTCCCACTGGTGGTTTCTCATGGCGTGGAGGTGGGTCTGGAACTGATTGGTAGCCCTGAGTATCCGTAGGTGTACGGTAAAGGGAAGCTTTCTCTGTGTATTGTTCCGGGGTTCCGGGAAATCGTCTTGGGACTGGTAGCAGTTCAGAAGCAGTTCAAGAAGGCAGGAAGGTTTTCGACATCTTGTGTTATACGAAGAGTGCAATTAAAGTGTCAAGAATTGGTGAAAACTAGCATTTGAGAACGAAAAGGGTTCAAGTTTTAGATTGATATTAATTAGTTCTAGTATCAGGACCGTCCTCTTCTCTTCGACTGTCTATTAGTATCCTGGCGTCCATAATCAAATAAAGAAGCGACTTGTTGCCTTAATAAATAAGTTATATTAAGACTCAACGTTGTTAGTGATACATAAATGGTACAGAAAGTCTTTTACATTACCTTTTTCTTCGTAACATGAATGAAATGACCTCCGAACGACGCTTCCCAGATGCTCAATTACAATTTCGATGCATTCTCCGCGGAGGGCAAAGAGATCGAGGATTTCGAGATCGATGAGGGAGAATGCGAGGCGGACGAGGGTGAGGATCCCGTGGAAAAAGGAAAAGCGACGAAACGGATGGACGACGAGCTCGGGTGGTACGTGTTCTCGTATCAGAGCGACGACGACGAAAAGTATGGGGGGGCATTTCGCGAGGAAGAAGAAGTAGGTGAAAGAGAAGAGGAGATACCACTTTCCCCGAGCGTCTCCGCGGAAAAGTTCGAGGAGGAAGTGCGACAGGTAGAGGAATCCGATCACGTGCTCCCCGAGATACCTGCAGAGGTGGGCATAAACCTGTCATTCTCTCTCGATCTGCCCGTGGAATTGCTATTCCTCACGACCTTCGTGATACATTAAGATTCTAAGGTTCCGAGACCCGGCTCTCGACCGTGTCCCTCCTATACTTTAATCCGTAATATTTGCACATAATGGCCGCGCATCTTATTGTAAACGGAGAGGATGTAAATAATAAAGAGGTTTCTGGTGGAACGTTTCACTGCTTTCCATTCCTTTTTCTTGCGGTAGGTTACGGCTGACCGTGAAGCGATAATTAACCGAATAAAAGAATTACAATCCGAGCAGACCGATCTGAGACAGAGAAACAGGCTGCTGGAGCTTTGGGTTATCCGATTGATGAAGAAGGTCAGGTAGAAGCGTTCGTGGTCGAAAATATCTCGAGTTACCTCGATTCGGTTTGGGCGAGAAGAAGCACTTCTACGGTAGAACCTCAATCGTCGGATTTAATGAGAAATTATAAGCTTGAGTTTCTGGATAATAAAACGCTTGATTTTATATATTTTAAAAGGTACAATACGATAGAAATAGGAAATAATAAAATTAAACACGATTTGCCTTGATCTTGAACCTTTTCTCAAGCTTTGATCTGTCCATTACCAACAGAAAGCCTTGGTAGGGTGTCACGATTGTCCACGATTCGAGCAACTTCTCCAAAAACAGAGCGTTTTGGTAATAGAACATTCGAATACGGGGAGGTTCTACCGTAGCTGCAACGAGAATCCGCCGATTCTCGTTAAAAAATGCGATCGTTCGCGTAGACCCAACAAAGGATGACACCGGCGGATATCACGAAGGACGCGGAGAAGATGGAGCAGACGTACAAGGAGGCGCTTCGCGTGTACAAGATGCAGGTAGACGAGATACTGACGCAGCAATCGGAGCTGACGTACGACCTGCAGAATTACGAGCTGAGGGTTCACCAGGCTCGGGGCGAGAACGAGCGAACCTTCGACGAATTTCTGGAGCGCGAGAAGGAGGTGGCTGTGGGCCTCGTTTACGAGAAAACTGGTCGAAAAATCACCGACAAGATAATGGACGTTTTGACGCATCGCCAGGTGCGGCATCGTAGATCGATGATCGTTTTAATTTTTCACGCTCGACCGAGCTTCCTCCCGCCAGATGGCCCGCACCAAGGTGTTGGCTCGCGGTCGCCGCGGCTACATATTCCTTCAGCATGTTCTGGAGGACCTGATGGCGCGGCTGAGGTTCGCAGAAACTTTGGGGGAGGGAATGACCACGATGGACTACGAGGTGCTGCACGTGGCTAACATCGGCTACAAGGACAGGCTGGACGAGAGGAATCAAGAGTTGGAAAAGCTGAGGATCAAGTACGTCCACGTGAACGTCCACGAAGAGTCCTTCCTTTACTTTTTGTGGTCTATGGAGTGGTTAAAGCGTTAAATCGTAAGGAAATTGAAGGGCCCTCTCGTACTTTACTACGTTATCTTTATTACAACTTGTGTATCTTATTTCCAAAATCCAACTACTCGTCGCGATAAGAGGTATTCTTTCCTCAGCGATGTAGATCAAGTTTGAGAAGTGAAATTAATTTTCAAGTCGATGGGATATCCTTGATTCCACTGCTCTGCAAGCTTGCAAAGTTTAATCAAAGTCGAAGGGAGGTGGGGGTACTTGGCTAATGTTCCTCGTTAGTTTCTCGCTGATTATTCCTAGCCAACCGTGAACAGAATCGCGGAGACGGTGAACGGAGTAGCCCAGTACAAAGAGAAAGAGGTGTGCTTGTTGGAGGACATAGACTACGAGGACCGAAGCCTGGCGGATTATCGCGAGGCGAACACCAGGGCCCGGGAAAGGGTGAATCAGCTTCACTTGATGTTGAACGAAACACGGGATCAATTCAACGAGAAGAAGGTCGAGGCTGGCCTGATGGTGGCTCGGTAAGATACAGTTGGTATAATAAGTATTCGTACAACGATTATTTTTAGTGGTTCACTTTTGTAAAGCACACAAAATTTAGGAAGTATAGAGAGAAATTGATAATTTGATAGAAATGAATCAGGTTGTTCTAAAAGTTTCTTTCTTGAGTTGCACTGAATTATTTCGTGTGGCAGTGTTTATATAAATAGACAATCTAATTTTTTAGATAATTAATTGTAAGAGTATAGGAGCAACTTCTGGAACAACTTAATAGCATAAACAAAGAGTATTATTGTATACATGATTGTACTCTATGGATACAAATTGTTCATTTCATGAAAGTTTATTAGTAAATGTAATTACATAGTTTTAATTCAACTCGGTGTAAGAATACTTTTCACTGCCACTGTACGTTCGTTTAACTCACGACCATTTCTCGGTCAATGTTACCGGGGATTCATCGACTCAGACAAGCGTTGCTAGAGATGGAGAGAATGATGAAGTTGAAAAACAGCGTAACTAAGGATATCGCGAAGCTCGAGCACGAAATTGAAAGCTTCAAGTCGGCGAAGGAGGTTCTAAAAAGCAAAAGCAAATTGCGATCGACATTGAGCAGAAACATAGAACCATTTTAAATGATACAACCACATCTTGACTATTTCTTCAAATTTAGTAAAATATATGCACTTTAGATACAGTCAGTCTCATAAGTATTCGTACCCTCTATATTTATTGAAGAAATTTGTCTAATTTAAATGCTTCATATTTCTAAATAAATTTTACCATGAGAAAACTGATGGCAATAAATATAGAAGGTACGAATACTTATAGGACTGACTGCATATAAATATATCCAGTGACTTTTGCAACAAACCGAAATATAAATATTGTAAATCAGATTGTGCAATAGATGGAAATTCATGTTTCATTACCTAGCCGTTTCTATTCCTTTATTTTCCGAGGTTGACGAAGTGGAAACCCCTCTCGAGTCAGTGTCCTCTCGCAGTAGGAAAAAGTCACAGTATTTCTAGAACTCCATGGCGTCGTACATTTTCATACGTTACAACGCGCATGTAACTGTCTGACTTATCTCGCGAGCAATTTATCACCATTCCCGCACGTTTCATTCGAGTGGCGATTTGCAATTCTCTTGGAAATTGTATTAATTTGACCAGCGTGTCAGGCCGCCCACAGGAGGTTCAAGCTCCATCCGCGGACACGACGGCGTCTACGTATTAATCGAATCACGCTGATATCTCGAGGCGTCGCGAAACATTTTTTTCGTCTCCGTGGTAACAAGCGTCCTGGCCGAGCAGCGTATTAATTATGAGACCAGGCCAGGAAAAATTCACCCCGATGTGGTCTTCGTCATCAGGATTCGCGTTTCGTCGCACGCGCGACGTCGCTTTCCTGTTACCTCGGTCCTCGTATTACAACTAACGCGTGCATGTAGACTTCGAACATCGTGGCGCGGCTCGTTTTCCCATGCATACGGAATGAAAACAGAGAACACTAAACGGACAGTCCCGAGGGGAATATTAATTCCAATCTCTGAAAATGTCACAGTTTGCTGGTTCGTTAATTAACCTGGAAATCGTGGTACATCGTGCCTCGTTTCTACACCTTTTGTGCGTGTATCCTTCGTTTGGAACAGACTCGTTCACGATATAAAAACGGGGTCCAATTGAACGTTGGAACGTTCCAACATCTTCCATACTGGGTTACGCGCGCACTCTCCATTGCACCGACATGGATAAATCCAAAAAATCCAGGGGTGTCGTGTCGTTTTGTTGTGGTGTGCGGCTACGCCAGGCAATCTCGTTAAGGTTACGTAACAGCCGCACCACCCCGCGATGAGTTAGCGTTAGATTAGCAAAAGCGCTTCATTGCCAGCGTGTGGGTAGTTTCATTCATTCGTCCGCCCACGCAGGAGCTGCATTATTTAAAATCTTCCAAAGGTTATCCGCTGTTAGCTCGGTGCTCACGTGCGCCGTGACGGTTCTCCGGCGAACCCCGGAAAAGAATCGCCTATTAATTTCACGTGGGCGTAGAACGCACTTTGTCCAGCCGGATAAAATCAGACAAAAGGGTGGATCTCCCGCTGTTTGTATCGAAAGGGCGCAGGCGTCGATCGAGGGACCACGCGACCTCCCTCCAACGGTGGCCCTGTTCGCATGATTTCGGGCCAATTAGGCGCGGCGTCGAAGCCATTAATTCTTTTTGGTAATTTGTCCGTAGCGGGAATTGATTTAGGGCCGACGCGTGGATCGAGGGTAAGACGAATGGTTTCCTCGCGTAACACGAAAAGGAGAGATGACGTGTTAATTAAGCTACCCTACAATCCTCCGGAAAGTTATACGCGGAGGGCACGGTGCGTGGAAAGATAAATCACGGTGCATCTCTCCTGGATGGTGCTCGATCGAACGATTATTTATATCCGTCATTCGCGAATCGACAGCTCGTGTGCCGTTATCCGCGAACAACGTCGTCTCCGACACGCAACTCGTTTAACGAGCATACCGTTTAATAGTAGGAAACGGTGAGCAGAAAATTCTTGACGAAGTAACAAAGAAATGTCACTGGCCAGGGTTATCGTTTCTGGATCTTAAGGAAAGAGCACCCCGGAAGACACTTTTCAACCCCTTTGGAATCTGAGGGTTAGATTCAAGGAGTCATGCATCGTTAGTCTCTGAGACCACTGGTACTTGGTAGTTCAAAATCAATCATTTTCTGATACGTAATCCATGTATTCGTAGATATGTGTAATGCATTTTAACTTGTCTTATTCACCTTAAAAATTACGCAGTTTCACCACTTTCTATCGTGATATGCAAAACAACTGGTCTTAAAGACACTTTCTTAAATTAAATGCAAAAATATTTTACGTGGAACTTAATTTAATAATCCATGAAACAATATGAAAGGTGTGCTGCAATAAGGAGGCAGGACTATTTTTGTATGGTTTTGAGATTACAACATAATCACGGATTTAAAACATTCCTTCTTTTTGTGATGCAACGAGGAGGAACATTTGAAAAAATGGAGCTGCTTCCTTGTCGATGCACACTCCTCAATTGTATATGAAAACCGTCATTTGACCGGTCGTGGTAGGCTTAGTGTCGAGGAGGATTCATGTACGTTTAAATATACAGTTGGTAATCCTACAGGTGACGCAGGTGCTAATTTCGCACGTTGAACGCGTCTCTCCTTAGACCGTTAGAAGAATTCGTATTCAGCGTCGGTTACCTGAGACCCTTGTCGCGATCCTGCGATACACCAAGGAAATTCTTTTCAGTGACCTTATGGTCCTTCGCTTTCGCGCCGTCTCGTATACCTGCTCCCCTCCAACCACGCAGGTCTTCGTAGAAAATTATCGAGTTTTCCTCGAAGCTACTCGAACGAGAATCTCCTGTATGTGAATACATTCCTATAATTGAGCCGTTCATCGCGCAGATCGATTAACTCCATAAAACAAAAAGTTGAAAATGTACATTGTTTTTTTAAAATTCCCTTTGTAATATAAATTCAAATAAATATCGTAGAATCCATAAATACAGGCGTAGCTTTCATTTAAAGGAATATAATATTAATAAGAAAGAATAACCAAAAAATAATTGTCAGTAACATTACAATTTTTATGTGACTGATGGAGTTAATCGATTTGGGGATTGAACAGCTCAATTGATGAAGTGTTTCCTAAATATGGTCATTAGGGTACACGACCAGTGACGATGACTTTCCTGTGGCACTACTAGAACGTCGTTGACTCGACCGTTTCTGCAATGAAAAGCTGCGAGTGTCGCGGTCGGAACGCCACAATAAACGACACCTCGATCGGGACACCGCGTAAGCCGGGCTGCTGGCCAAAGACAACGGCATAAGAAACAGAGAGAAATCCCGTGGCAAATTATGCAGATCTGACGTATTTGCATGTAGTTAGCATACACGCCGATCGTTGCACGGACCATGCCTACGGTATGGACTTTCATCTATTTACCATAAAAAAGTGCACGGTATCCGATCCCGATGGATCCTGTGGCCGGTCTCACGCCACCTCGCCCTGTCCCGATCCGGGCAACTTCGATCCGTCGATCGATCTCACGGCACTTTACCCCAAGAACGTAGTGGACTTTTCCACATTAATGCCGATTTCGCGGCTCTCCGTTTCTGCGTCGCGTACACGGACACGAAGTGGGACAATCGATCTGTCATGCTTGCCCCGTACTTGCAATGAGATTACGAAGCTGTTCGCGTTGAAGCAAAGGGATAACCGTGTCGCAGGCGCGAACGCAGCTTTGTCGTTAAGAATCTCACTTACAAATAAACGTTTCATGTCGCTACTGTGACAGTTAGGTATTTTAAACTGTCTTATACCGCGGTTTGGAGTCCGAGACCTCGAAATCCCTAAGTGCTATGCAGATGCGTGTATATGTGCAGGTTTCTGGGTGTAGAGTTAAACTGGAATTTTTGATTCGTTTTGACGTGAATTGAGTTGGAATTAATGAATCACATTTATGTTAATATTGTCTATAGCATACTATACAGAGTATTAAATCGATCGTTATGATATTTGAACTGCTTTTGATAATTTACCAGACGAATTATCTCGACTGAAGTATACTTCTCCAATGTATTTCTTCAAGATCCCGAATCTGATTTTCCAGGAAAGACGTCTTTGGAGAACGAGGGTGGTTATTTTGATGGTATCGATCGTTGAAATTTCGCTAGGCGGGGAACATAACGCGGCAATTACGCGAACGCGGAACCCTTCCGTAAAAGGGAAAACGCGCGTTAAGGAATCATGTCCATTCTCAAGGTCGACCGGTATCCTACCGGCCCCTGCCGTAGACTGCATAACGCGTTTCTATTACGCGGTCAATTGCAGCGATTGTTGCGTGTCCCTCGCAATCAGCGCCGCGGCCTGCACGCGTGCTTTCTCTTTCTCTACCCCCGATATTTCACAGCTTTCCCCATCTACGTTTTCTTTTTCTTCCGTTTTTCGAAGCCTCGATTCTCGGTTACGCTCGATGTCGTTAAAGTTGAAGCGTTTATCGTAAAAGAGGCCACCCTGAAAGACTTGCCTA